GGAGGACACGTCCATGGGGGGTGCTTTTCTGGGCCTGGCGAGCCACCCCCAATTCGAACACGCGGGTCCACTCGCTATCGGTGTCGTCCAAGAACCCGATGTCGCGGAGGGCTAAGTCCTCCACTTGGTCGTCGGTCAACCACTCGGAGTGGTTGGCTGAGAGCCGAATGAGCCGCTTGCCGTCATATTTGCTGGAGGCAAAAGCGACGGCGGCGGTGGTAGCGGATAGGAGGGTGAATTTCATGGCACGAACGTGAGTAAATCGGAAATGACAACGCAATCGAAGTTGACACGGTTGTTTGGGGAACTTCTGTATTGGTTTACGATAGCTAACCACTGAATGCAGAATAATTCCCTCATTAAAACAGTTTCTCTGTTGTTTTGATCCGAAATACTGTTTCACAGACTGTCAATGAGGGAATTATCACATTCGAATACACTTTTTAGCCAGGTGACCTTTCAGTCAAGAGATACTAAAATAGTTCGGTAGAAGGGGTAAGGGATTAATCGCAAGCATATGCAAAGTTACCACCCGAACTCTTGCCAATACTGTATGTACCCTGTAGAGTAATCACCGGATAGGAATCGGTACGATGGACATTTTGAAATGTCATTATATTGGATAGTTGCCTCGCAATTTGCAATGGCCAACTGCTATGTGCTAGCACCGTTTCCCTGATGTGGCGCCATTTCTTACGGATTTACTGTTAACTGTCAACACTATGGCGATCGGGGAAAAATATGACCCATAAGAAATACTGCCACCACTATATTCAGATGTATTTACTGTTAGATTAAATCCAAGCAACCTTTATACTTCGAAGTAAATAGATAATCAACTTTTTTCAAATCCAAAAAGCTTTATCGGTCATGTCAACCGAATACTCAATTCTAATTGGCCAATCACTTGGTGACGAGCGCGTACAACACACCATTCAGATATCGGATATTTGAGAAGTCGTGAGCGTTAATCTTACAACTGTACCAGCATGAACTGCTCTGATAACGAGCCTTATTTGATACTCCCAGAGTTTCCGTGACCTCAGCAGTATGTCCACTCCTCACAATAGCGTAAACAGCACGATCGACAAATGACTTTCAGTATACTATTAATACTACACCATTTTGCGTTTAATTCCAGCTTATTTTCAATATATTTCCACCAACCTCCGATATATTTCACCGAATCCCCAATATGATTCACCCAACCTCCATTATATTTCACGCGGATGTAAAATATCGGCGATATATTTCACCCAACCTCTGTTATAATTCATCCAACCTACGGTTAATTCCAACTTTCGAAAATATAATTCACCTAACAGTTGTTATAATTCGAGCTGGGATTCTAGAAAGATCGAAGCGCGCGAAGAGTTTCGCGCGCTTTGACCATTTTTGAATCTGCGCTCATTCGAGGAGGCCATCCCTGCACCACAAACTCTGGTACGTCTCTGTTGACCGCTAACATCACGTTTCAAGGCGCTTCGTTCTTAAAACTAGGGCCATACGCCCCGATGTTGAGCCCGATCGAGACTATGTGGCCGGCGTTGAAGAGCCACAGCGGCCTTTATGGGGCCACCACCAGACAGACAGACTCGTTATGTGTTTCGCATGCAAAACTTGTAACACACAGCTGACGAGGCAATTGCAGGTATTCAGTGCATTTATAGGTCGTGGGTTCGATCCCCAGCTTCCCCGGATTATTTTCGCAAGGATTTATCCGTCCCTTCCCTGGGGAATCCGGATAACAAAGGCTGCGTACGAAGACGAGGACCGAACATCGAAGAAGATCGGTCGAAGCACGAGGTATGAAGCGATGGGCGAAGTAAAAACCGAAGGTTACACACCACCCCAGGTCGAGCAGGCGCGATACAATTGGCGAAGCGGTTCCATAACATGTGGTTCTAGCATCGGCCCTCGCGGAGGAATGTCTTAAAAATGATAATCCAAGCTCAATTACCATGTACTGTAATCAATTAACCGATTCAGCATATGGTACGAGAACTCAAGCATTTGACGGTAATTACGTACTGTAACAATCAATCAATTTGATTTGCCGAATTTTGACTGTAGTTTGGTCCAAGCTCTTTAGTTAGATTCAACGTAAGTCAATACTTGTACGTAGTATAAGTATTGACTTGTGTTTATACTACTACTAGTATGTAGTACTGCATACATGTTGGGAATTGAAGTACTACGTAACGTTAGCAATAAAATTGTAAGATGTCCTCTCGATGGTGATACAGGGAACGACGCTGAGTAACGGCGCGGGAATAAAATTTCAAATCAGCCAATAATAATCAGCGATATCGTTACCTCGACTATGATTGGCGGAATTTTTCCGCCAATGGGGCAAAACAATATGGTGGGATTTTGTAACTTCGCATAAGCTCACGAATAATCCGCTGAGTGGTTGCTGGTATTTTCAAGGCGCTGGGGGTTCTGAGCCTGGGAGAGCGTTTCATGGCGGACATCGAGGGGATGCTGGGCGTGCCCGAGAGCTCCGTTCAGACCTTAACGTCGTTGCAATGAGCCCTGGACGACAAGACCGAGTTCAAGGCGGCAAGGGGCACTGCACTTCGGGACTGGAGAGGTACTTCCTCGACAAAGACGATGCGAAGGTCATTGCCGGGCTCTCTGGAGTGCCGACAGACTCGGGGTTGGCCACATGGACGTAGAAGGCTACCCTTTCTAGTTCATTTTGCCTAATACATTACTCGGTTAAAAACCTGTATTTGGGGGTACTAGTACTCGGAGTAAGTACAACTTCCATCTAAAGTTGTGGATTCTATAACTGTAGTGCAAGTATAATCTGCTTTGTTGGTAGCATCATGCCACACAGCTTGCTGTACGCTTTTGGTCGCGTTGGACAATAAAGTTCATTGAGTCAGCTCAACAACGTACGCAATCGAGAGCTTGGTGAAATCGGCCATATGGTTAAAATCGATGGTGGCGATCGTGTCGTTTTGGGAGTGCATGTATGGGTTTTTGTCCTTCAACTCGGTTTCAAACGGATACGATGAGGGGTACCCCGTCACGTTCCACGCGAAATGGTCCGAGCAGTAGTAGCCGCACACTGAACGGGACACGGGGAGGCCCACGTAGGTCGCGATGAGCATCTCCAAGAACGTGTTGAGGTTCTCGTTGATGAAGTCGGAGA